ATCAAAAGCGTTGCCGGCCTCAAAAGGTTGCGAAGTTATCCAAATTCCTCGGAAAGAACTGCATAATCCTTGGCAATTTAGGCTAACGTTCTAGTAGCTCACCTTCTTAGGCACAACTCCGATAGGAGTATCGACACCGATGTCCTGCTCACCGTCAAGTCGGCGAACAATCCAATCGATAACACGGATATTGTCACCATAGCCCGGCCAGAGGAATTTGTTGTCAGCATCTCTACGGAACCAGTTCACATGGTAGATCTTTGGTACCTGAATGGAAAGCGCTTCACCCTCGGTCTTCCCGAATAAAGCAGGAGGACCTTAGACTCTCACGGACCTTTCTTCCGGGCTTGTTCAGATCAATCCAGTGTTGGAGGTATTCACCAAAGTTGTAACCCATGAACGGACGCATTGCCATCGGATCGTGCATAACAGTCTTGCCTGAAATACAACAGGTTCGTACAACAGCCGCTTGAAGTGTTCTACGGAAAGCACTCAGGTCTGATGTAGCACAGGTATGCTATCCACTAAGATCCCGGTTAAGACATAGGTAATTTGTCAATCAGATTCCATATCTGTGAGCTAAAAGGGGCGTTACCGAGTACGTCGTTGCAACCGCAGCGGCGCATGCGAGGGTTTAAGTGACGGAGAGGCGTACCTATGGGTAAGAAAGGAGCGTTGCCACGGTATACGCAAAAGTTGACCAGAAGTACTTGTACACGCCCCTTTTTGCCCTCCGATGTGGACTCTACATTATGCGTCATCACCCAACTCTTAGCAGGTAACGGTCCTTAACGGTCCTCTACCACCCCTGTGCGCATAGGAGAAGGTACAATGCAATCGTAATTTGTTGCGTTGTCGCACGCGGCATACGCCGGTCCGCGGTAACTCTCGTGTCAATTTGTTCACTGTAACAGCAAAACTTTTATGTATTCAATGGAGAACAACTCCCCATAGCAGGTGATATCAGACTTTACGCCCGTCGTCGAGATTCAACCAGGCAGGATAACTCGTCCGTAGGGCGGGCATCGATCGTCACGCCCATCAACGCGGCATATTACAGTTTGGATTCGTCTGAGAACGAGCCAGCCGTTGGAATGAAGCTTCTGAGTGTGGCACTGCTCTTTTGATTATTAGGCGTCATCCGAACAATGGAAGATGAGAAGACCCACCAGGGCCGGGTTTACTTCTGTATGGCTGTCTGTGAGCAGGAAAAAGAGAACAAGCCCGATGATGCAAAAGTGCAAAGCAATGACTGCGCCAAGGAAAGCGCTGAGTTCCATGAGTATCTACATAAGGTAAACCAGTAGCTCCGCTATGATGTTGTGTTGTTCAGCCACAATATTACGATTGTCTCGTCACACCCGAGATCTATTCTCAGGTTATACTAATCAAACTGGTCTACTAAAGGCAGTATTGGCAGCGTGAAGCCTTCCATTGGGTTCGAAATCAAACCAGACCCCAGTTACGGCCTCAGAGGGACCACAGTCTACTGTACCTTTGTGCTCGGCGGCAGCAGTGGCTTCTGACTTCAGACACGCTCCCGTGAAAATACCGTGCAACCACGACCTGGTCTCAAACACCAATGGAACACCAGCTGGACGACGACCACCGAAAATAATAGCCTAAAAGATTGAACAATTGACATAAACATCATTCAAAGGGGAACGTGAAAAGGGAACTGTAATTAGCTTACATCGATCGGAACTCCCTTAGGGCTTTCCCAGTCGGGGTGAATGATCGGGCATTGAGAGGCTGGAGCGGCAAATCGGGAGTTTGGATGGGCACATACTCCTGGATCTCCGATCTTCCATTTCTCACCGAGCCAGTTGATCATTTCGACGTTCTGAAATCATCACTCCAGCATTCAAAGAAGTAATTATGACCACTAATTA